TCCTGCAAAAGCGACACCGTCTACTCGGAATAACCATGATAAGTATTGCCGAAAACTCCGCTACTGAGCCCAACCTCACAACCACGCCGTTGATTGATTCTACAGACCGAGACCATCCTTAGGCCCTAAGCCGCTCCTCGGCTGCATTGGGGTTCCAGCACTCCGTGAAGACAGACGAAATCAGAAAGGCAATCAAGTCAGAAGCATCCTTAGCGGATTTAGCTTGCAACTTTGAACTCAACCCTAAACCCTATTCGTCCTAAAATGTTTGCAATCCGGAGTCCCACTCTCTCATATTCTTTTCACTGCAGTTGGGTCTCCAGCGCTCCGCGTGGACAGAAGAAATGGCAAAGGTAAACCATGCATCCTGTTGGGCGTATAAAAGCATGCCAAGCCAAGCTGCTTCGGGCTGGTTGTGCTGACAAGCCTTTGGCTTTGCCAAAACCAATAGATAGAGTCACAGCCCGTTCGCGATCATCGCTTTCCCACAAAGCCGCCGGGGCTAACTAAATCGGCTGTCAAAAGGCATCTGTGCACGCAGCCCCCCGTGGGAGCATGAATGGGCTGCAAAACGAATTGCGGCACCGTGCCACGGTAGCTGCGCAAGCTGAATACTTTTCTGTGCTCATTGCCACAAACAGCGGCTGCTAACTTTCCGCGGCTGAAGGAAAGACTTGAGAACTTGAGGCTGGTGTGGTTATGGGCAACGCCGCTTTCAGTTCCCAGAAATCTGGAATGATAAATATGTTACCTATCAGGCTCAGGCTTCGCATCTCCTCTGTTCGGAGAGAAATCCTAGGCCTGCTGCAAGCCTGTTTGCACAACTAACAAACGAAGGGCTTGGCTGCCGAAAGTTCATTTTGTCTCCCTCGCTTTCAACTTTGGATTCAGGGGATCGTATTTTGCCTCAGCGCCTGCTGCGATTTAAAACGTTCGGCATCGTTATGGTAAGGTTCCTTGAAGAAACGTAAATTTTCCAAGACGAGAGGCCGATTCTTCACGTCATACGGGGTGGCCAGCGCCGTCCTCTGCAGTGCTGCCAAGATCAGTTCGGGTGATTTCGGCTGCACGGGCTCTGCCTAGATTTCACATTACAATGGCGAATTCGATGATTTTTGTAATGTTGTGGTAGAATGATTACGATGAGGTACCCCGTGGCATCGGTTTATACTGGGGCCTTCTTCCAACAGTGACACTTGAAAGGGTTTGGAGCCACAAAACAACCGTTTTCTCCGTCATAACATCACAGTTATCCCCATCATAAGATGTCAGTCATCTCTATCATAACACCTATCTGGGAAAAATAACAATTTGATGCCTGTCATAAAATGACACTTATCCGGGATGAAATGAAAGTAGCACTGTCCCTGTCACTAAATAACACCTATCCCGCAGAAAAAACACTTACCCTTGTCATCAAGCAATACGTATCCTTGGCACAACCAACACATAACCTTCAATCAATCCAAGACGAATTACCCCGAGTAACGGAACAATCCCGGGGCTTTGTTCGAGGCTTGTCGGGGGGGTCTAAGTCTAAGAGGTCGAGCAGGGCCTGGAAAAGGGCCTGATGCTTGTCAAAGCTCCTATACGGACCTCGGATGGTCTATATAGGGAGGGGGCCTGGGGGGGCCTCGGGATAGAATAACAGTTAAGGGGGTCCGTAACTGCTATTTTATTCCTGCCTTTGGGGATCTTTTTGAAGGACTTTTGGGGGCACGATGTTTTTTTGAGGTTACGCAAATATTGGTAGATGCTCGACATTCGGAAGATCAGCGAAGCCGCCTCTTGCAGGGCTTTGGTTTAGGGTTTAGACCATACCAGTACAGTACATAACGATAACCTTAATTCGGTCCTGCAGCTAGTTAATTGTCATTGATTTAGGTGTGAAGTTGCTGACATACTCTACCGATAACTGTCCATGTATTCCACCCATAACTGCTACCTTATCCCACTGATAACTGCTGTTTTCTCCCACCGATGACTGTCATCATCCCGCCGACAACTGTTATGTTACCCTGCCGATACATGTTGTTTATTGTCTTCTATGAAGATTCAACTGTTCTGTTATCGTTAGACACGTAATCCAACGAGTCGAGGACATCTCTCCAAAAGAGGTGCGGCCAGTTACTATTAGAGGCAACCCCTAGGTTTATGCAGTTCCAGACCTAGACATGGAGCTGGAGGGCAGGTTTAGGCTGTTCTGGGTCAGTTTCGGAGACTGGGCCCCGTTCAGAGGTGTTGGGTGCAAAGGTTGTTTTGGGATACTGTTGACCACTGTGCGGCATGGATTCGCATCAAAAGCTTTCGGCTGGAGCATTAAACTGAAATAGATTTAAGCCACGTGTTGGGCACGGTTGCGACATGTGAGCGCTTAGGACCTAAGTTCGGCTCAGGATTTCGCCGAAAAAGCTATGCTGCTTCGCAGTCTTGACGTGGTTTAAAATCAACTCCGACATGTAAGTCACCTGCCGATGCTGTGTGCAGTCTTCCAACACTACGACGAAAGTTACTGTTTCTGCGGGCTGTTCTGCACTGTGAGCTCCCGGCTTCAGACATGCGGCAGCTGCTTTGGAAAGTTTTCAAGCTAGGGCTTATAGAATGGACCAATCGTGAATAATGGACGACGGCTGAAGTGAACCTACCCATTGTATTCCGTGGCCTGCGGTAACCAAAGACCAGAGCTATGAACAGCGGCTGTGTTCGATTATGACTCATGGTGCTGACAACAGCGATCTTAAACATGACTTGAATTTCGTCTGGCGTTAAGGCACTTAGCTTTCTGTTTGACGACGACCTGTTGGCGCATTGTCGTCAGTGCTTCGTCCAGAAATTCAAGCATGTTTGGGTAGTTGCACCCAAGTGCGACTGCAGTATGCTTACCTTTGCCGAACACATGCTCCTGAAGTACCCGGATTCTGATACCTCGAAATAGTCACTGGATCGGAAAATATTGGCGCATGCCGGTCTTCTTCAAGACCGCACATGCTGGTCTTTTGTAAGACCTGACAACGTTTCAGCAAAACGCATGGCTGACGCCAGTACTTACATGCGCAATGGCTCTTAACCCGAAAGAGCATGTTGCGATGCAGGTACATGCACTGCTTTTGCTGCATGGCGATGTGGTGCAACTTCATACAGTGGGAGGACTACGAAATTGTGACACAATGGGTGAACCTCGTGAAGAAGACGAACATGATGTCTTACTGGCTGCAGACCTGCTCAGCCACAGAAAGCTCACCCCAGTCAATTTCGAACCTACCCTTGCTGGCAGGATACAACGGCATACTTTCGCATCACCTTCGCGTCAAGCAAACCACATCCGGTGGGATGGTTTGTTCCGTTCTCATGGTGGCCGTGGCTTTGAGTAGGAAGGTATAGGCACGGTCAATGACTTCACTGCCATCGAAATTCTTGTACACAGGCACAGCTTCGGATAGCTCATGGTTTCCCGGCACACACGCATCTTCTATCTCTAAACCACGATGCAAAGATCGCCAAGATCTCAAACATGGCGCCCAAGATTACGAGTTGGAGCTTAAGGCCATTTCAATCTCGACCTGGAGAAAGCCAAGTACACGCGAGGATCGCTTCATGAATTTGGTTCAAGAATGTCTCACGAACCGAGTTTTAATCTTGCATTGCTGCATCGAGGTACAACTCTCACAGCTCATGAGCCATGCGCTTTTAGTTCCATGCAGTTGAGTTGCATATGACATCGTATAGTTGTGATACAGTGTTGCCGTAGTACACACAAGCAACGGATTTGTTTGCAACCTCCAGTCTACATACATATTTGCGCCTGTGTACATGCGGATTTTTTTGCTGTTGCCTATATGTACGTATTTCTCTGCATGCTTGCAGCTGCATTCATCGAACGTATTGTCGCTTTCAATTACACATACATGTCTGTAAGTATGTATGTGTGCAAGTATTTTTGTATGAATGTGCGTGAATGTATTTGCATGTATGTATGTATGTATGCATGTATGTATGTATGCATGTATGTATGTACCTATGCTTGCATGTATGCATGCATGCATGCATGCATGTGTATGTAAGTACATACCTAAGTAAGTCAATAAGTAAATAAGTAAGTATGTAAGTAAATACGTTTGCATGTATGTACGTATGTATGTATGTATGTACGCGCGTGTATGTATTTGTATGTATGTGCGTGTATGTATGTATGTACCTATGCATGCATGTGTATGCAAGCAACTGTGCATGTACGTCTGTATGTATGTATGTATGTATGTATGTGTATAGATATACGTACATATGCATTACGCTCTTATTTAGCAGCCATTGTGGAGGCGTCGCACGCAGCATTGCACCTGGTCTTTAGACCATTCAAAGACTTTAGGCAGGCTGCTGTTTGGGTTTAAAGGGTTACTATGCAGCAAACAAGGTTTTGGGGTTTTGGGTGGCTGGATAACCTTTGCGAAGGGTTCTCTGGGGTGGGGGGAAGCTTCCATGCTGTGGTGCCAAGAACCGCTCCCCGAACAAAAACGCAGAGTTTTGCCACAAACAGACCTGTTTATAAACACTGTACGGCATTGCAGACATGAGACAAGAGATGACCGTGGGGACAAGCAACACAAAACATTGAATGTAGAGTCATTGTTTACAAAACGTTTGAAAAAACGCACCCAGCATGTAGGTATGCAAAAACGCAGGCCCCACAACCTCCTCTAATGTTGGCTTAAGAACTGCTTAACAGCATTATGTGTCAGTATGCTTGATCAGGTGGCACCTTCAATACCCCAGCGCAGACAAAGCCAAAAAGCTTGATGTGCTTGACTGCATGACGGCTCACTGAACCTACTGCAGGTTCTGACCCCTAAACCCGAAACCCAACACCAGTTCTCAACGTTATGCTTCGAAACTGGCAGGCGCGTGTTCAAGCCATCTATATCCTCTCCAATTCGGGTTGCATAGCCCACGCCCGACGAAAGGCTCCCCAGATCCGAATCTTCGAGAACTGCAGATTTCCAGTCCTCCTTGCCTTCCTCGATGAGCTTTCCAAAGTGGGCCTGAGATGGCGAAGCACAGCTTCCGGCATCCAGAGGGCTTCTCACGGGAAGCTCATGGCATGGTAGTATAGAGGCCTTAACAATTCATAATTAGAGTAGGGTATGGAGGTATACTCTACTATAACTATGAAAAGGAACCCCACGCAAGCTAGTACGTATTGGTAATCATTAATCCACGTATATTAGGGGCATTTCGGATGCCAAACGCCACATACCCCCTGAAAAGTGAGCACAACAGTAAATCCTCGACTCCTCACAAGACATTACTACTGTTGATGGACAAAATTCTGCATGACCCTAAGGACTCTAAGCTATGGGAACTATGGTATATTCCTTATAATGGGTAATGCAGGATTTTGTCCATCAACAGTAGTATCCTCTGGTCTCCTGCGAAGTCGGTTTAGGCGGTTTAGGGCTTAGGGTCTCTAGTTGCCAAAGTCAGCAACATTACCGCTACGTTTATGTCGAAGCTCCGCACTAGTACTAGCTAGCACTCGCCGTCGTCCTAGTAGTAGTAGTAGTAGCAGCAGTAGTAGTAGTAGTAGTAGTAGTAGTAGTAGTAGTAGTAATAGTAGTACCAGTACTAGTAGTAGTAGTAGTAGTAGTAGTAATAGTAGTAGTAGTAGTAGTAGTAGTAGTAGTAGTAGTAGTACTAGTAGTAGTAGTAGGCAGTAGTAGTAGTAGTAGTAGTAGTAGTAGTAGTAGTAGTAGTAGTAGTAGGTAGTAGTAGTAGTAGTAGTAGTAGTAGTAGTAGTAGTAGTAGCAGCAGCAGCAGTAGTGGTACTGCTACTACTACTACTACTACTACTACGACTACGACTACGACTACGACTACGACTACGACTACGACTACGACTACGACTACGACTGCGACGACGGCGGCCACCACCACCACCACCACCACCACCACCACCACCAGTACCACTACCAGTACCACTGCCAGTACCACCACCACCACCACCACCACCACCGTCACCACCCCCACCATTGCTGCTCCTACTCGTAGTCCTGAATCTATTCCTACCATCACGAGCAAGAACGACAGTTCTCATCAACTGAGAAAGTGTTTCTGTCCACCTGGGCATCCTGAGGCCTCGCGCATAATTTTGTGTGATTTTAGGAACAGGGCTTAGGGAGCCGGTTTCGGGTTTGGGCCGCAGGGCTCAAAAATCACTGAACCCTTTACAAGCTAAGCCGTGATTCTGAGCTGGTTCATGCTACCCAACCCTAGACCCTAAACCCCAAACCCTCAACCTTAAACCCTACCAACACTCAGGGCCGCTGCACACGGGGCCTCTCTCTGTATGAAGCAGTTCAAAGCACTTGGAAGAAGGACCGTTCAACCGAACCCTGGACCCTGAACCCTGAGCCCTAAACCCGAAACCTAGGACGTCAGTTCAACACCCTAAACCCCAAAACGTACAGCCTAAACCGTGACCTCATCTACATTATGATGTGGAGCGCTATCTCTAAATCCTCACTCTCCAACCCGTGGCTCTGCACCATGGGGGACTGAACCCTAAACCCACTCAGCCCAACCTTCCAGGCCAAAGAGACGAAAACCAAAAAAGTCTTTATGGTTTAGGGTTTAGGGTTTAGGGTTTGGGGTTTAGGGTTTTTTTTTAACACAAGGGTTTAGGGTTTGGGGTTTAGGGTTTAGGGTTTGGGGTTTAGGGTTTGGGGTTTAGGGTTTGGGGTTTAGGGCTTGGGGTTTCTCGACCCTACAGAATCTTCTCAGAGCCAGCAGATGATAAAATCCACCGAACAAACTATCAACCTCCTATCAAAGCCCTCAACAACCGATTTAAACAAAAATACTAAGACCCTAACACCAAAATTTCAACAACAACCCTAAAACCCGATTGAACACCAAAAAAAGGAAAGGACGAGGCCTCGATGTCCTTTAGCAACTTCCAGGTTCTGCCGCTGGGATCCTCGGGAACAGCGCGAGGGGGAGGCTTTAGGGCTTCAGGGCTTGAGGGCTTTAGGGTTTAGGGCTTTAGGTCTTTAGGGCTTTAGGGCTTTAGGGCTTTAGGGTTTAAGGCTTTAGGGCTTTAGGGCTTGAGGGTTTAGGGCTTTAGGGCTTTAGCCTTCAGGGCTTTAGGGTTTAGGGCTTTAGGTCTTTAGGGCTTTAGGGCTTTAGGGCTTTAGGGTTTAAGGCTTTAGGGCTTTAGGGCTTGAGGGTTTAGGGCTTTAGGGCTTTAGCCTTCAGGGCTTTAGGGTTTAGGGCTTTAGGTCTTTAGGGCTTTAGGGCTTTAGGGCTTTAGGGTTTAAGGCTTTAGGGCTTTAGGGCTTGAGGGTTTAGGGCTTTAGGGCTTTAGCCTTCAGGGCTTTAGGGTTTAGGGCTTTAGGGCTTCAGGGCTTGAGGGCTTTAGGGCTTTAGGGTTTAAGGCTTTAGGGCTTTAGGGCTTGAGGGTTTAGGGCTTTAGGGTTTAAGGCTTTAGGGCTTTAGGGCTTGAGGGTTTAGGGCTTTAGGGTTTAAGGCTTTAGGGCTTTAGGGCTTGAGGGTTTAGGGCTTTAGGGCTTTTGGGGCTTTAGGTCTTTAGGGCTTGAGGGTTTAGGGCTTTAGGGCTTTAGGGCTTTAGGGCTTTAGGGTTTAGGCTTTAGGGCTTCAGTCTTTTGGGTTTCCAAGGCTTGCAGACTTTGGGGTTTAGGAATTAGGGTTTCTGGGGCCTCTGGAGTTTAGGCGTTTTGGGTTTCGGGGGCTTTTAGGGCTTGGGGTTTCGAGCTTGGGAGCGAAGGTCACTACTGTAGGGGCCTTCATAAATAGAATAGGGTTTTTGGGGCCCATTATACTATGGGTAATTATTTAAGCCCCTATAGTATGATGTAGCCAAGGCAGGGAGGTTGAGGAGGCGCAAGCTCGATGGGAGGCCGAAAGGGGGATCTAAGATTCTTGGGGGTAGGGATTCCTTAACATGAACCCTATTATGGGAACCCTAATCCCTACTAAACCCCCATAGGCGAAAACCCCTTGGCCTCCTATGAAAGTGGCCTGCGATCCAGAGAATGGCAGACTTCGGAACCAAGGAAGACGGGCTTAGGGTCAATGCTTACGGCGCCTTCAAATGTCTGGCACCCACACATACCCGGAAATGAGGGACTTCTTCGAAATTGAATGAGATCCATGTACCCAGCATTGGGCATATCAAGCTGAGGCGCGTAGTAGTTTGCGCTGTTCTGCCCGCAATTTTGCAAATGCTTGGACTCGCCTGTCCAGCCTTGCCAGCGACACAGAAACAGCTAAGTTGCAAGAACGACCAGCATCGAAATAATTGGAGCACATGTGATGATCAGAAGCCGGAGCAACATCTACGTAGAACTACCTGACTGGCAAAGACTTAGGCATCTTCCGTAAAAACGATTGAGACTGACTTGGTAGATACCCAGAAGACTTGTAGCATATAGTGATGCTACAATACATGACTGTAGTAGATTATAGTTAGGTTGGGGTATGTTGCGGTCCATTATGAAGTCTGGGCCCTGTGCCCGGTGGCGCAAACAGGGGCAATAGAGTTAGGAACCACGCCTGTCACCTAGTGTTCAAAGCTTAGGTTATGGACGGTTTAGGGCTTAGGGCTCCTCGTTTAGGGTTTAGGGTTCAGGGTTCAGGGTTTATGTTGGGCTTCTGTTCATGTAAACAGTTCGGATGTGTCTGGAGAGATTGGTAACGGATACCATACTAAGGTTCCGTTGATGCACCCTGCCGAATGGTTTTTCTAATGTGCACTTATCTTGGAGCCACAAACCTGCACAAGCGCACCAAGGGCCGTTGAAGCCAAGCCTCAAGAACTACTAGCGAAGGGTGCGCTCACGCCTTCTGGAAGGTCCCGTGAAGGGCACAACAGGCCGCCATCCCCGTCTGTAATTGCAAACAACCCCAGCTGCATTGCTGTCAAAAGCTCTCTTTGGGGATGATGTAGTTTAAATGACAGTCTGCCAAAAGAGAACATATATGACATCGATGCCATCGCTGGAGGGACCGATCAAGAAACCCACAGGCCTCCAGCACAAGACTCAGCCATTCTTTCGTAAAATCCTGAAGACGAACCCAACCCTGAACTGGACCCTAAACCCTGAGCACCAAACCTAAACTTTGAACGAGAACTCTGCCAGACTTGCCTGGGAAAGCGCAGACCATGGCCCCAGTCAAAGCCGGATAGCGCTCACGGAAAAGTGCGACGTGCCTTTGCAAGCTCCGGCTTCGCTTGACATTACTGCCGTGTCACGGTCTGTCTGTGTATCGATCGACCGTTTTCCGTCTCTGCTCCGTCTACCTGTCTGTCTCAAAATCTGTTTCTCTCTCTCTCTCTCTCTCTCTCCCTCTCCCTCTCTCTCACTCTCTCTCTCTCTCTCTCTCTCTCTCTCTCTCTCTCTGTATGTCTGTGTGTGTGTGTGCCTCTCTCTCTCTCTCTCTCTCCTGGGCTTGAGGGCCGGTCAAGGCCCCCGAGCTTCAAGCCCACCCGATGTTTTATCGGGGCGAGAGGCGTGACGAGCGAGTGTAGGCTTGGACATCGGCTAAAGCCATAAAAGGTACAATAACGAGCTCGTCTAGCCGTACACTCTCATCGACACATGCACACTGAAGACACTCCCCCGACAACTATTTGCGGGGCCTTAGCATACACGGGTCTACAAAAGACCTTGGTTTGTCGAGGCAAGAGTGCTCAGCCTGTACGATTATTTGGTGGGTGCCCGAGACAGTTACCGATCCAATCAACAACATAGCCTACAAATCAATATAAAGCAATCACACGTTCCCCCGGGCCTCGCCCCTTCGCGTGACTCCGTACGCATGACATATCGGGGTTTTTCAACAAATCATAGCATACAAAGGACATGGTACAACACTCTAACCCCGCAGCAGTAACGACACTACGTTTCCCCCGATGTCATATTAAATCTGCAAAGCCGATCTTTTAGGATCGACACTTCAGCATGCGTATATTATACGCATGCTGAAGTGTCGATCCTAAAAGATCGGCTTTGCAGATTTTCCGCCTCAGGGAGAGCCTCTTGCTCAGTCGCAACAGGAACCAACAGTGTACTATGTCCGACCCGTACATTCGTGTGTGCCTCTCTCTCTCGCTCTCTCTCTCTCTCTCTCTCTCTCTCTCTCTCTCTCTCTCTCTCTCTCTCTCTCTCTTCATGACAGTCTGTCCCCCTCAAACGGCAACCAGGAGGAGGACGGGGTACAACATTGAAATCTAGAGACCGTCACCTGACGGGTGAGTCGGGAGTGGTGTCCTCACTTTTGCCAGGGTCGCAACATTTGCACTTGTAGTTGATATACCTTAAATCATATTAGGGATCCTACTATAATTTAAGGTATATTCCTTAATTAAGGAATATTGGAGTCTCTGCGTATTGTAGTTGATGACCTTCGGCCCCGTGGTGTGCAATGCTTGGGGGAACCCTCGAGGCAGATGCTGATCAACTTTCCGCCTCAAGGACAGTCCTACGATGACATAAATCCCCTGCATTACCCACATTAAGGAATATACCATAATTCCCATAGTTTAGGGTCCTTAAGGTACAGTACCTCAAGGACCCTAAACTATGGGAGTTATGGTATATGATAGAAACCCTAGGGTTGCTTTAAAGGGATCTGTAAGGGTACCATAGTTTAGGCTCCTTAGGTAAATGCAGGATTTAAATCACCTACCCTAGGGCTGGGGGTCTCGAGAAATGCGCGAAGGCTTCGAGGCATCGGGCCAAAAGCTCTTGCGAGCACCTCGGGGAGTTTCCGAAAACAGTACCTGATTTTGGGGTCCTTATAATAAGGATCCTACTATTTAAGGTACTATATTAGGGTCCCCTATTTTCGAAAACCACCATATGAACGATTCTTTACTTGCAGTGCAGGCGCTGTTCGCGTTTCTCCTTCCGCACTTCTGGTGATAGCACCTTACGCAAGACTGTGAGTGCTGCACAAGAGATACCATTGCATGGCTAAGTAATCGCAGCCACACAAACATAAACCAAAAATACAACATGTGATAACTGCAATCTTACCGGTATGTTCTGACTGCTGGCGATTACTACAGCTGGAAGTTCTACTTCTTGGTGACGGTAGTGATGACAATACTCACGTTGACGGCGACGACGACTACTACTCGTAAGCACTAGCAACAGAAGCAATATCGTGGCAACAGCAAGGAGTTGTCCGATTTTCCCAGGGAGTTGCCACAGCAATGGAAACAGCAGCCTGCAGCAGCATCAATCTGTGAAACCTCTTGCAGGGGCGTGCCAGTCCTACGGCATCCAACGAATCCTGAAAAGATTCCGATGATTGCCGAAACTCCACCCCGCAAACCTAAGCCCTAATCCGCGCCGCCTGCGCTTTCTTCTCCGCCTTCAGTTTGTTGTACAGGGGCATCAAGTCTTCACCAGTCAGCTCTTGGTGCCTCGCTATAGCTTGCGTGTCGGTTGAAAGGCTACCATTTATGCATGGAATCCGATGTCTGTGGGATGGGCCGTTTCCTAGGATTCGGTTCTTCGAAACGCAATGGCAAGCGCGAATATGCTGAACGAGTGAAGCCCAAGCGCCGGTCAACATGGAACGAGACGCAAGAAGGCCCCCATCCTGCATACATACTTATATAGGTATACACACATAAAAAGATATATACACGCACATACGTACAACCTAATCAAGGTTCCCTAGTTCTGGATTTTCATAGCCTACGGCCAGGAACAAAGAGGCTCTTCAAGCGCGAATACCCGGCAGGCTTCGATTCTTCCCTCAAGGCCCTTGTCCTGCTAAACCCATTTAGGGTGAGTTTAGGGTTTAGGATTCCAATTTAGACTTTGGGTTTTTCATTTGGGATTTTGGGTTTATCATTTAGGATTTAGGGTTAAGGGTTGCAAGCTCTAAATCCGAACCCTTTAGAAACTCGGGTGTCAACAACCAGGCTCCCTAAAGCTCGAAACCCAAAAAGTCTTAAGCCAAAACCCCACAACCAAGAACCCCAGAGCCCTAACCCCTAAACCCTAGGACCCTAAGCCCTAAACCCTAAACCCTGAACCCTGAACCCGAAACACTAAACCCTAAACCAAGCACCCATATTCCCAAAAGGAACCGAAACTTTCCGGAAGTTGCCCTCCGCTCCGCCGGTCAACTCCGCAATGATTACAGGTATGTCCTATTCTTCAAAAGTTTAGGCTTTAAAGTATAGAGCTTAGGGTTTAGGGTTTGGGGTTTAGGACCTAGGATTTAGGGTTTAGGGGCTTAGGGGCTTAGGCTTTACGGTTTGGGGTTTAGGATTTAGGGTTTAGGGGCTTAAAGGCTTAGGAATTTCTTGCTGTGGCTCAGGTGGCAATCAAGGCACGCACGCATGACCGCAGAAATAGAAGGCATGAGTGCGCCAGTCCCATTGTACTGGAAGCGAACATACGTCCTCAGATCGACAACTACGCTGGGGAAACCGGTCGAGATCCTACTGAAACCGGTGTCTGGGGTCTGTGTTTGACTGCCGTCCGAAGCGGCTTGCCAACGCTGCCGCCGGTCTTGTACTGCTTCCTCAGATGGCCCGTCTTGCACTGCACACCACAAGGACAGTTTTCCGAAGTACGGCCCCTTTCAGGATACTGTTTCAATGAGGGTGTCGTACTATTTTGGGGACCTAAAGTGGGACCCTAATTGGAGGATATTGGAGAACCAACCACGAGCATGCCGAACTCTAGAGGCAAATGCGCGCTGTCGGTTTGTCTCGTGCTGCCAACGGCAACGACGAGAACGACAAGACATCACGCCCGTCACCATTGACATCACCGGCACCATCGTGTCAGTCTTCATCTTGCTCGTGCAAGCATGGATTTCCATCTTCATCTGAACCTCTTGAGGCTTCTACTCAGGAAGCCGTCGTAACTTTGGAAATATAAAGTAGCCGGGACGGAAGGTTCGGAAAGCGTTTAAGGACTTCAGGGTTTAAATTTTGGCGGTTTAGGGTTTACAGTGGTGCGGTCCCTTGGCACACGAATCCTGCCCCCGGCTGCAACAACAAAAGCCCAGCTGAGAGCCTCGATGAGTCCATAGTTCATGTCCGGCTTTAAGCTGCGAGCGAAGACACGGGTTGACTCGGCATGGCTTCGATGAGAACATGAACGAATGCACTCATTTACGGAGAAATTGAAGGGAGGTGCTGCACCTGCTGCTTCTGACCAGGATGATGATGACGCTCTTACCAAGGATGCACTGCTTCCTCGAAAGCACGATTGCTTCCACGGAGGAGAGATTGTGGATTCCACAGTGATGGTGGTTGTAGTGATGGAGATGATGATGATGATGCTGATGCCAGAGCGGGTGCATGATGACGACATCCCCGTCGTCGACAACAAAGACGACAACCACGACGACCGTGCCAAAGATGATGCTCATGACTTCAAGTCTGTTAGTCGCCAGTACGCATACGATCGATGCTGCTAGTGCTTACGGTCGATGATATAAATCCTGCATGACCTTATGGACCCTAAAATATGGGAATTATGGCATTCTCCTTATTATGGGTAATGCAGGATTTATATCATCAACCGTTACCACCTTCTACTCTACATCCGAGGAGCTCCACCGTTGACCATCCCTTTGGGAGGAGGGTGTCGGGATCCAGGTAGCCAGGATCCATCTCTTTCCGCCGCTTCCTTGCCAGCTTTCATGGCACAGGGTTTAGGGATTAGGAGTTTAGGGTTTAGGGTTATCAAGACTTCCACACTCTTCCTCCTCTTCAGGCCTACCTCCATTCGAGAGTGAAAAAGACTTTAGAGGCCATAAAGCACGACACTGCCTCTTCACAACAATTTCCAAGCCCATCTCCGAACCCTAAACCCCTACAACTATAAACCCTAAAGCCTAAAGCCCGTGCAGAAACCTCAGCGACCCTTATAGGAAGCCCTCTATCCCTCGAGATCCTCTAGACCTAAGAGTAACCTAGGAAGAAAAAAAGGGGGCCCTTGTTGGTTTAAAGGGGGTTATAAGGGAACCTAAACCTAAACCTTAAAAAAAAAAAAAAAGGAATCAGGGCCTACTCTGGGTCCGAGTCCTTCCCTGAAACCGGCCTAAACCCCTAAACCCTAAACCCTGAACCCTAAACCTAAACCCCAAACCCTAAACCCTAAACCCTAAATCCAAAACCCTAAACCCCAAAACCCTAAAACCCTAAACCCTAAACCCCAAACCCTAAACCCTAAGATAAAGCTCCTTGACTTCGGAGCCGGCGCGTCCGCCTTCGCAGCCTGCTCCGCAGGGCTCTCTTCCGGAGCCTGCGGCTTTGAAGGGATCGTCGATAGGGCTTCTATAAGGGTACTATGTTCCTTTAAAGGAATCTATAAGGGTGTCTATAGGGTTTCTATAAGGGTACTATCTGGGAGTTATGGGAGTTTCCCGACAATAAGGGACCCTAATACAGGACACTGAATAGTAGGAACCTTATTATAAGGACCCCAACATAAGGCACCCCGAATTGTCGAAAAATCCCATGTACTAAAATCAACAAAAACACACCTCCGGATACTGGTATTATAAATACGACAAATGATTCTAATAATAATAATAATAATAGTCGTCAGCATCACCGTAATTTTAATTGTAACTGTTCCTATTAGTCTTGTTGTTGTTATTTTGACCTTTACTATCGTTATCATTCTCATTATCGTTATAACTCCTGATAGCAATACTGCGATTCATAGTTCTTATTCTTGTGATTCTTTGAACTATGATTGGTAGTAATCGTCGTCGTCGTAGTAGCAGTACTGATAGGAGTAGTAGTAGCAGAAGTGGAAGTAGTAGTAGAAGTAGAAGTAGAAGTAGAAGTAGAAGTAGAAGTAGAAGTAGAAGTAGAAGTAGAAGTAGAAGTAGAAGTAGAAGTAGAAGTAATAGTAGTAGTAGTAGTAGTAGTAGTAGTAGTAGTAGTAGTAGTAGTAGGAGTAAAGATAGTAGTAGCAGTAGTACTACTACGAAAACTACTACTACTACTACTACTACTACTACTACTACTACTACTACTACTGCCACTACTACTAGTACTACTACTACTACTACTACTACTACTACTACTACTACTACTACTACTACTACTACTACTACTAGCAGTACTAGCAGTACTAGCAGCAGTAGTCGTCGTAGTAGTAGTAGGAGCAGGTAGTAGCAGAAGTAGAAGTAGAAGTAGAAGTAGAAGTAGTAGTAATAGTAGTAGTAGTAGTAGTAGTAGTAGTCGTAGTAGTAGTAGTTGTTGTTGTTGTAGTAGTAGCAGTAGTAGCAGTAGTAGCAGTAGTAGTAGTAGTAGTAGTAGTGGTAGTAGTAGTAGTAGTAGTAGTAGAAGTGAACTAAAACTGGTGCTAGTATTAGCATTAGCGTTAGTAGTAGTACTAGTACTGGTGTTAATCTACATAGAAGTATTGGTACTAGAAATAGAAAAGTTTCATTACTAGTCCTATTGCTATTGCCATTAGTCTTTCTATTACTGTTACTTTCACTATTCTATCTCAATTGCTACTAATTGTTTACTTTTTGATTTTTTCTTGTTACTATATACCTTCTATTACTACTACTACTACTACTACTACTACTACTGCTGCTGCTGCTGCTGCTACTACTACTACTTGTGCTCGTGCTAGTGCTATTGCTATTGCTAGTGCTAGTGCTTTTGCTAGTGCTAGTGCTAGTGCTGTTGCTATTGCTATTGCTATTGCTACTGCTATTGCTATTGCTATTGCTATTGCTATTGCTATTGCTATTGCTATTGCTAGTGCTAGTGCTAGTGCTAGTGCTAGTGCTAGTGCTAGTGCTAGTGCTAGTGCTAGTGCTAGTGCTAGTGCTATTGCTACTGCTACTGCTACTGCTATTGCTACTGCTGCTGCTTCTGCTCTCTACTGGTACTATCTACTCTTTACACTTTATTCTTTACTATTCACTATCTACGACTTACTACTGACTAATTCCTGTTTACTCTTTACTCTTACTAGTACTACTACTGTTACTCATACTCTTACTGTTGTTCTACCCATTTGCCAAATGTAGCAACGGCAGCATCAGTACTAAGAATGAAGATTCGTGTTGAAAGGTGACATATCATGAAGATGTTGACAATAGGTGGAACTCCCGCCCCGACAACAACAGTCAGCAAAATGTGTTCACTGCCAGTGTTCTGGACAAAAGAAGACTAGGAAGCATGCTGATCACTATCTGCGGGCCATCGACACCTTGGCTTCGTGCTGGCGAAAGGAAGTAGCAACAACAACGCCCACAACAATGTCTAACAATGTAAGCGGCTGACAACAAGGTCATCACCCAGATCGATGCTCCGCGTGACATCGAAGGCTGAACAAAGCCTAATGCCAGGGAACCTTAGCACTACATCAGGCTGCCAAACGAAAACCTAGGGATCCTAAACCTTAAAACTACAACCTCAACCCTAAACTCCTAACCAAAGAGCCTAAACCCTAAACCCCTAAGAAGCCCTCAAAGACTAAAGCCTCTGAGAAGCCCTTAAAGACAAACCACCCCCCAAGAAGCCCTTAAAGCCCCGAAACAGGCCCTGACACCTCGCCCTTCTCGGCTGGCTGCGCCGGCTGCTCCTTTTCTGCTTCCACCTCTTCCTCCTTCGTCGTCGTGCGCTTTCGAGCTTAAAGTTTAAGGTTTTAGTGTTTACAGTTTAGGCTGTAGGGTTTGATGTTTAGGATTTAAGGTTGTAGGGTTTAGGATTTGGGGCTTCGGGTTCAGGGTTTAGGACCCCAGAGGGTCCAGGATGCGGAGCCTGGGCTCGAGGACTCTACGACAACGACTTCAACCCAGAAGTACAGCCTGAATCCATCGGAAGTCGGAAGGCTTTTGGGCTTGAGATTTTTGAGTTCTAGGGTTTTGCTCAGCGGCTCCAGTTCAATACCGATGTACCTTCTCACTTAGGAGATCTTCAACAGCCTGACGACCCCCCTAAGCTTGAATCCAACACAGATCTGAAAGCAGCAGGACTTACGCCAACTTCCTTCAACCGTGAAACCTTCAAACTCCTAAGTCGTAACCCCTAAACCCTTAAACGCTTCAACCCTACACCCCAAAATCGCGAAAACTCAGAGACCCCACAGAGCTGCCTTGATCACTTGCGCTGAAAACTTGGCCTTTGCTTTGGCAGCTTCTGCCTTCGGTTAGAGGTGGTGCTCACAGACTCCAAAACCCCTCACTTGAGGAATAGTTCTTCGGTCATATTGACGGATTCCCGCATTTCAAGTTTGACTATTTTTTCAAGGGCCTTTTGGTGTCTCTGAGAGGTTCGTGGCTAATCATCACTACGACTCTTGCTACATCTACTGCCAATCTTTCGATTCCAACATTCTGTCTGTTGTCCTTCCGGTTGTCACTGAGTAGTCTGTGAACTTACTTTGTAGTCGTTGCTGCGTCTGCTATTCCTACGACTTCACTGTCAGTACGACTCTACTGCTGGTAACAGTCTTCCACTATCACGGCGAACGTCTCAATTTCCAACCTTGTTCCCCGGACTCTCATTGTCACTGTGTGCGTAATTGCTTTGTTCTGGCTGACGTCTCTGGAAACACCACCATCTTCGTTGTTGTTCAAGATTCTTGAAGCAGTCGCCAATGGAAGTTGTAAGCAGTTTGTCCCTTCCTCACTGGCATCTTCATGTAAACCAGCAAGAAATGGTTATGACGAGATTGCAGCCGCTATCTAGCGCTGTTGAAGTGGTGACGACGTCAACCAACCGCTTCGATAGAACCACGACTGCCTCAAACTCATCAACTTCATCGACTAACAAAAGGCGCCAAAAAGGCCACGAGCATTCAACACATCATCAATATCTAGATAGCGATGACTGCAAGACTTGTTAGAATATCGCTACAGCTATGGTTTGTCTGTCCACCGGACATCACGACTGGTAACAATAACATTGACGACAGCATCACCACCTTCATCATCAAACAACAAGTTCAAGCATCTTCATCTTATGTACCACGATCATGCTTGTCTCAGGAAGGAGGCTACATGCACAGATGGCCGTGGCTAGCAAGGCTACGACATACCAGCATGAAAGCCATAAAACTTTCTTATGGTGGAGGACGCGATTATCGTACGCACGAAGCACCCTGAAACCAGAAAGGACAAATAAACAAACACCAATACAAGTGCTTAGTCGGTCTTTCGTTTTTCGAATTCGATGTTCATGTAACCGCTTTTGCAAACGCAGTGGCGATTCCTCAGCCAACTGCCGAACCTTCAAACACTTGGTTGGATTAATCACGAGACACTTTATTTGTGAACGTTATTCAATGTCGAAACTGCTACAAACCTAAATAGTTGGTTCCTTCGATGTGGTGATTACAGAGTTGTATATGGTGTGATGCAAGTAATCACTGATATAGACACACGGCACCACGTATCCTGGAACTATCCAGCTGTTGGCTCTTTAGAACATCATGCTTTTCTAAACATGTTTTTATGCAATGTTGCTATGTCAACCAGGTACATGAGGTCACTAACAAACTGTTGTTCTACAAAGTTTCAACTTCAATTATATATGTAGAACTGTTGGTATGTGGTCACGCCAGAAACTTATTATCAATGAAACATCGAAGAAAATTAGTGTTGGCTGCTAACTGCTGTTCAGGCATTCTGACGATTTTATTGTCGATTGTCTTCGCAACCGTTATGGGGAACTGGCAAAATCCAGCTAATGGTCCAGCATAATCGACACAAAACATGAACCTGACAGGGGCTTCTCGTCCTCGCTCCCATTTTTCGGGGTGTAATGATGTGCAGTAAACCAAAAAACACTCGGATTTAACAAGCGAATTTTTGAAGCTACCTGTCATGCCGTCAACCGAGGCATGTGAAACGAAATGTTGCCAACTGAACCGAAACAGTGCGGAAGATGCACGTCTCCACCCATGCCGTTGCTCCAGTCATCCGTTTTCAGCTGCGCAAGCCGCTCCTTGCACAGTGTACAGCACAGCTGGCGGGGGGGTCTGGCGTTCTGGATGGTTTTATCAGAAACCGTGAGGTTTTGTCCGGGGGAGTTTTTTATGTGTCAAACGAGTGGAAAGAAGCCAAAACGATTGAACCGTGCACTCGAACAAAACCACCCGCGCCACGCTAAGTGCCCCGGCACTTATTGGCGCAATTGAAAAAAGTGAACAGTACGAACTGCACTCACCACATCAACCACCAATCTTGGACAACAAATCGACAGCAGACGCATGATGCAAGCACACAACACACGATTGGGATTTCCCAGCTGCTTTGCAATGCAAGCTATGACAATCTTTATTTACGGTACCAGATGTTTTTGCAAAACCCCGGAGCAGGACCGGCGTGATCCAAAAACACATGCAGTCGGTGGAGGTTGCAACAAGCGCAAACGGCCAACATGGGACGGCATCAGGCCAAGCACGTCAAAAGCCAGAACGGCATCAACAAAACAGGCACACGGAGCAGCCGGGACGCTGTTTGGCTCCGAAACCAAGACACCGGCCACAAAAAAATGTCGATCGTGGAGGAGAGCAGGGACACCGCAGCCATGAGGGCAACTTTGAAGCTCGCCGATTGCAAACCAACCATCACCACTAAAATCAGCAGTAAACTACGAAGACATGTCAGTGCCATGTTGTGCCGCGGGAACATCCGAAACACATATAAACCGAACACTTCTTTACTTTATGCTGTCGCGATCCGTCAGTGATTGGTGGCTCCCTCTTCTCAACATAAACGGCATCAAACCTTTCGTTGAAGAGTTTGGGAGCAAGGTGTAGTTCGTCTGAGAAGACTCCAACTGAAGCTCACACGCATGTCGGAAACACACGTAAACCGAACACTTGCACACTTCATGGGAAGCATCTGTCGACCGTTGTCAATGGTTCATGAAGCCCGTCCCACCTGGAAGGGCACCCAACCTTTCATTGAGCAGTTTGGGAACAGGGTGTAGCTTGACAGGACTCCGACAGCTTCAACAATGTCTTGCTGGCTGTTGGTATAATAGGGCCCCAAAAAGGCACATAAGCAAGCCCAATAAGGTAGGGATATCCCTATAAAATGCTTATGCTTATGTGCTTTTTGGGTCCCTAATATAAGTGAACCCATCCCTCGGAGATGGATCAGACTGCCCGAGTTCATGTGCTGCTGGCACGGTCCGGGGTTCCTGGCCCGATGTGCTTGTATGATCAAAGCGGGCAGGGTATTGCAGAACGGCGAATCAAAACCATTACTCCACATAAAAGTGGATCTTCACCCTTGGCTGTATGCCTTGGCTGATCATCCTCACCGGTCAAGTATTGCAACCCCGTCGACGCCGGACAAATGAACTCTCCTTCTAGCAACATGCCTCATACTCCCCGACCGCACCCTTGCCTACCAACCGTAACCACTGCTGCGACATGTACCTAGGCATTCCAACATACACCACAGTCCCGCCTGCTCACCATCATGACTTTGCATGAAGCTGTGAGCCCTGGACAAAAGACCCACCAGCATGTCACTGAGTTGCACAAACTTGCATTCATAAGCCCAGGCTTCCGAACCCCGAGCTTTCATCCATACACATTCGTTGGATGCTCCTCAAATCACACCAGCCACGGAGGTTCGAAACCAACATAAACGACAAGCCACCTTGCTAAAGAGCTCAACGTATTCAAGCTCAGGCCTTCGGAGCTTGGTTTGACTTGAGAACAGCATGGAGGCCGTGTTGCGGGACACTTTGAGAATGAAGCAGCAAGCTAGACAAGGTTTGAAACAAAAACACCGCCGCCCCACTCCAAGGAGCATACCTTTTCACCGAGGACGATGCAGACCCGCCAGCCCGACTTTGGGGCAACCACCATTGTGGTTACCATGGAAAGGCTGGACCCAGGAATGAAGGATGCTATGATGACGTACCACTAGACCCGAACATGACGAAGCTCCTTGAAAAGCGCAAGCAACGTTTCTTGGTCAGGTGCTGACTGAGATAACACACAAGCAGGTGACGAATCAGTGCATGGCTGCGCAACCATAGTCCCTGTATTCTCAAGACCAGAAAAACAATGCTACATCATGACCTGCCTCCGTGCACTTCGAAAAATGCATTGGGCTCGAACCTCTGGCTTATAGTTCAACTGTGGGCGAGAATGCAAGAACATTAATGTGTTATTTGTGGGTGTCGCATTTCCGACAACTCGTGCCATCCTCGATTATGTTCGGTATATATGCTGCAACACACCGTTTCCGGTCTCACTTGTGCGGAGAAAGACATTGCGAGGCACATGGTCGCTGCAAGTCGGCATCTGGGTGCTTAGGTGAATCTTTGGCTCTGGTCAAGGCTTTCTTAGAGCCTACATATTCTGTGCACATCGGGCTTCCTTGGATATATTTTTAATGGGGACCGCTGTGGAACCGGGGCTATGGCAATCATTGTCATGGTCGGCCACGTTCTTGGCACGGAGACGTTGTGCGAACCACAAGCTTGTTCTGGATGGTAAGGGTCTTTTCATTCACAGTCAACCAGAGTCGCGTGTCGGTGCTGTTACGAGCGTCCACCTGGAGAAGCCATTTGTCGAAGATCGCCGTGCTCGCCAGACAGATTTTCAGTTGAGGTGGCCATGTAGCGGAAGAACAAAAGGGTAAAGCATGATTTTGCCGTTCTTCGCCGAAGGCGAACTCATCGGACGGACGCCTGAGCGGTGAAGTAGGCGGTGTCAATGGTGGCTATGGTTGCCTGCATGACCTCAAACGATCTGCAAGAAGGCATTGCAATGACAGCTCATTGCACTAGCAGTGTCCGGACAAGCCACCAGCTGGGTTGCGGTGGGAGCAACTTCCTCACGGCCAGGATCATGCTTCCCGTTCATTTTCTGAAGCAGCAAACAGCAATCCTGAGGATCTATGAACCCGCCGGGGACAAGCAATAAAGTTTCACCTGAACACAGACCGAAACACGATGAACCACAAGCACATAAATGTGCTTCAGCACATGACAGATAAGCGAGGGTTTTGAGTCGCTTCTCCATTGGGCAATGTCAAATGCTTCCACACGGAAACATGGGGAAAAATGCTTCTTACACACACAGAAATTGCTTCACGTTCCTCAGCCGTTTGCGCCATTTGTAAGAAATCTTCCTGTCTACTTCTAAAGCTGAAGATTGCAATCCTGTTGTTTTCCTCGTGCAGCTGAACTCAGGGCAGCTTTTAGCACGGGTCTTGATTGTCCCGTGTTCTTCCTATTTTAAACCAAACCATCTAATTGTTGCCGCTGTGTAAAAACTCTTGTCGCAGCGCGTTTGCCTCCTTCTCCGTCGAACTTCACACTTGAGAATGTTGCACGTGGACAGAACGTATTCGACATGGCATACTTTGTCTCGTCTAGCCTTGCTCGAACTTTTTTTTCAAATCTGTTCTGCTCACAAAACCTCTTTGGAATATTGTCGACGAATGCTCACATCCTGTCCTGTTAGTAAGCAACTGCTTCTCTCGACTTCTGGCTCCCTCAAGAAAGCTCAAGAGGTTGCTGGCTGATACCGACTAGCTTTGACTTGACTAGACTAGCTGTAACGTTTGATTCTGTTCATCTTCCTTTTGATACATGACCCCCGACGAGAAGTATTCACGTGATGCACAAAAAACACGAATAAAACAAAAAGACGGGCTCTCCACACTCTCCAATATACTCAGGACATCTAACCTAACTGCAATCCAAAGCAAAATCCTAAACGTCCAACACCCAATGGACCCTCAAATCTCAATCAATAAACTCAAAAAACAGCAAACCAAAAACACAAAAAGCCTATGAACCAAACCCTGATCCGCTAAACAAACGGGATTAGGACTTGCCCAAACCCCAACCGTCCTTTGCTTTCGGCTCAGCTTTCGCGCGCTTCCTCAGCATGGGTCGGAGTTGGGGGGCTCAGGGAAGATTTAGGGTTGAAGATTAGGGGGTTTAGGGACTTGGCATCTGAGTTCACCGAAGTTCTAGCCAGGCTCTTGTGGAATTCGAAACCCAGCTCCTGCGAAAGTTGCCCGTGTCAGAAATACAACGGGTACAGGTGAGCTGCCAAAACTGCCACCGCGATTGCACTGACTCCTGCTCCTCCTTGCTGCGCCAGTACCGCCACTTCTAATGCTGTTGCTGCCAGGGTTGCTGCTGCTACAATTACTGCTACTGCTACTAGTATTAGTAGCAGTACTGGTGCTGCTACCACTCCTCGTGCTACTCATGCTGCTGCTGCTGCTGCTATTAGTACTAATACGACTACTACTACCACTTCCACTACCTATACCACTACCCCTACCCCTACCCCCTATCCCCTACTTACTTCCACTGCCGCTACCACTACCGCTGCCACTACCACTATACCACTACCACTGCCACTACCACTACCACGACCATCACCATTACTGCTGCTGGTGCTACTACTATTGCTACTGCTGCTACTATTGCTACTGCTACTGCTACTGCTACTGCTACTGCTACTACTACTACTACTACTACGACTACTACTACTCCTACTCTACCCCTGCTCCTACTCCTACTCCTACTCCTACCTACTCCTACTCCTACTCCTACTCCTACTCCTACTCCTACTTCTACTACTACTACTGCTACTGCTACTGCTACTGCTACTGCTACTGCTACTGCTACTGCTACTGCTACTGCTACTGCTACTGCTACTGCTACTGCTGCTGCTGCTGCTGCTGCTACTGCTACTGCTACTGCTACTGCTACTGCTCCTGCTGCTGCTGCTGCTGCTGCTGCTGCTACTACTACTACTACTACTTCTACTTCTACTACTACTACTACTACTACTACTACTACTATTATTTTACTACTACTATTTTACTACTGCTGCTGCTGCTCCTCCTTCTTGCACGCTCCTTGCCCTTACATCGCCACCAGCGGCATCAGTAAACTGGTGAGCTAAACTGGCAGAGGCGGCAGCGGCAGCAGCATTATACTCATCAGCCTCAACACCATCTACAACAAAATAAACCATCATCAGAATCATCATCACAATCTTAATCGCCATCATTACCAACATCATGATCACGCCGGACAGGTTCTGGACCTTTCGAAAATTCAGCTGGTACTTCTGGTCGTCCTCATGATCTTAACCGCACAAGCACTTTAGCTGACGACCACTACAAGTGAAGCGCAAAAGTCGCGAGCCACTCTCCTCCTTATGGGCTTCTACAAAGCGACCAAGGTGCGATTTTGGAGGATTCCGGATGTCCATGCTTCGCCGCAGCAGCTTTTGCATATCTTCCCCGGTTCGGTCGCTAATCAGCTTCATCAGCTTTTCGAGGCTATTCGCCTTCTTGCCGAAGTCATCCTCAAAGACCGTCTGAGTCCTTGTTGGCTTTAGTGCTTCAACTGAGCCCCGCCCTTTTCCGGTGCTGGATGGACTTCGCAGCGTGGCTGGACGGTGTATTCTTTTGCTTGCTACTACTGATGCTTGACCAGCTACTCAGAAACTCACTTCTCCGGACATTGCCGCTACTGTGTTCTTCCGACGGCTTGTATTGCTACCATTGCCACTGTTGCACTAGTTGCAACTGATCCTATTGGTAGTGTTGTTGTCGCTGCTGCGTTTGCTGTTGTTGCTGTCGGTGCTGTTGCTGCCGTTGTAGATACTTGCACTGGGCTTGGGGCTTTCAGGTCATACTATTATTGTGGCGCGCTTACCAATGATGACAATGATAACGCAACTAGTATTGTTTCCATCGTCGGAACCGCTCTGGCAGCAACTGCTGCTACTGCTGTGTATATGCCTGTTGCCACTAACAGTAAGCACCAGTCTGTCCAAAGCTGAGTTTACGGGGTTTCACACTTCGTAGATCTCTTAATACTGCCATCAACTGCCGCTATGGTCGCTTGCATATTGCTTTTGTCGTCTGCATGGTCTTTGATGCAAGCACGAGCACTTTATTCGGTGTTGCTCTGGCTGCCTCCCTGCATGGCTACTGTGGTCAGGGTGATAAAAGTCTCGTATGCGTGTTTATGTTACTGGCTAGCATCATTGAGTTCTGTCCCTGCGAAAGTACTTCTAGTGGTCTTGCTGCCATTGACATCCGCGCACTTGCGACAACAATCTTTCTGGGCTCTTGGCGGTCGTGGTTTTCGGCATTCACGCCGCGAAACATAGGAAAGAATGCGTTCGAAAGACTCCCACCCTCCACCTAGCTTTAAGTTTTTTTTGTTTAGCGCCTCTTTTCCACCTAGCATTTAAGGTTTAGGACTTTTTTCTAGGAGCATCACTCAAGAAGGCTGAATGCCGCACCCAGCGGCCCTCCAGCTTTCGGGCCGTGCCTTGGAGAGATTAGTTTTCGGAGCCTCAAGGCCCTCCTATAGGGTTTAGGGCCTAAGGGTTTAGGGTTTAGGCCTAAGGGTTTAGGGTTTAGGGTTTAAGGGTTTAGGGTTGAGGGTTTGAGGTTTAGGGTTTAGGGTTTAAGGGTTTAAGGGTTTAAGGGTTTAGGGCCTAATAAGGCTTCGTAAGTGGGTACCAGAGCTTCTCTGCTACTCTGCTACTTTGCTATTACACAGCTGCACTACTCCACGCTTAGAGCTTAGGGCTTCCGGTTGAGGGCTTGGGTCCTCTGAGGATGTACCTTGACCCTGAATAACCTATCTTTTTAGGGTTCCTTATTGTGACTTTCTTATACAAGTCCTCAAAAAGGTAGGTTCTTCCGGGTGAAGGAGCGCTCAGGGTTTTGGAGTCCCGGCACTGCCAAGTTGCGGCGGCCACAACTCCCGGACTTGACCGCTATCTCTGCTGCTTTAGGCACATTGAGAGCGCTATACGAGGCAGGTTCAGGACCTTTGCGAAACACCAATATGACTGAAAGCGTTCAGGAATCATGACCTGCGGCCTGGATACTGCCACCCATACCCTTCAGTCAAGCACAGTCATGTTACTTGAAAAGGCCGAGTTTCAGAAAGAACGAGTTCTTGCAACAGAAGTCGCAAGGAAAAGGGCTTATGGTTTCAGGCCACCCGCACTGCCGAAACGCCAACTCGGCTCTAAGGTTTGGACAAGCCATGCACATCATGAAAACACAGGGGGCCTACCCTCACTCCCATAATACCCCAACCTGTATAGCACCCCTGATGGTACCCACTATAGTACCTCCTCTAGCAACCCCTCGTAACCCTTGTAACTCCCCTACATTCCCCTAACACTGACCTTTATGGAACTTCCGGATAGTAACCCTAAACACTAAAACCCTAAACCACAACTAAACCCTAAACCCCTAAACCCCAAACCCTAAACCCCCAAATCCTAAAACCGACAAGAACCAGAATGACTGTCCCCTAAGAATAAGCTTTATGGTGCCCAAGTGGGTGGTTGTCGAAATTATGGTTCCCTTTTTGGGTACCCTCAGTATTAGGTGCCGTATTATAATAAGGAGACAAATAGGGACCATAATTTTGACAACCACCGAGGTATAGTAACCCTAAACCCCGGTAGAATACCCAGAGACTCCAATACCCCTTAATTCAGGAATATTCCTTGAATCATATAAGGGATCCTATTATAATTTAAGGTATATTCCTCAACTAAGGGATATTGGAGTCCCCTGAATCCTAAACCCTCTAGATCCCTTAAAGGAGCCCCTGAATACCGAGGCTAGGAGCAGGATGATCGTCGATCGCTCGCGCCATCCGCTGGGGAGGCCAGTGGCCTCGCTGAGCTCTGTTTCCATGCCTCAGGATTTAGGGTTTAGGGTCTATAGGGTTTAGGATTTAGGGTTGAGGGTTGAGGGATTTGGGGTTTAGGGTTGAGGGTTTGGGGTTGGGTTTGGGGTTTAGGGTTTGGGGTTAGGGCTCAGGATTTGGGGTTTACGGTTTGTTGCTGTCCCTGGCACGCTATGTTACACCATGGTATACTGTTCTGTGTTCGCCATAATGTTCCATAGCTGATTAGGCTTTTGGCTAGATTATATACTGCAGTATATGCTATAGAACGTTCAAAATATACATGTAAGAAAAAACAAACTCTACCAACTGAAATGGCACAAGTGAAACATGATATGTGTTCCTCCGGGTCGCTTCCCAGCAGGATAACCAAGTATTGTCAAATCTTACGTTTGGCACGCGTATCGTTGTCACTCTGGTTCTTACTACTTCAACGGCTGCTATTGCTGCTATTACCATCATCTTTTGTCTCTCGTCTTGATTAGAATGCCTACTTGTCGGGTATCACGGGGAACCAAATGTTAACAGGGATTATAGGGACGAAACGAACCCAAAAAGGATAAAGGTTACCTTCTCTACTAGTAGGAATGTCTATTCTTGTTTGTCTTCTCGGTATCAGATTCGCAAGTTAGACGAGGAACTTCCCGGATAGGGCCTCTGGCAGAGTCTGTTGGGCAGCCATGGGCGGCCAGTTAACCCTAGGCCCTAGGGTTTTCCTAGCTATTGCCTGACGCGGTTGTCTTGCTTGGCTTGAGATCGACAAATACACACTACGAAGTGGGAGTTGTTGTGTGTGTGTGTTTGTTCAACCAAGCCCCAAAGAAGTGCTTCCGAACACCAGAGAATACCTAGCCTTACTGAATCAGATGGTGGTTGCGCAGATCTGCCTTGGCTTCAAAGCTGTGTCTCTTCTACGACTCAAAAGCTAGCGGATGCAGATGCAGCACTGAAGCCCGACGATCCGTGTCAGTTCCGTCTGGTCACCATGCCCTCCCGGATCGATCTTTTATTGACATAAACCGCTCTCGAATGTCGGGAACAAGCACGAAATGTGTGCGTCTGCTGTTTCACCTCATGGTGCATGCAGAAGAAAACGCAACGTACTATGCTTGACATTTGTGCAGCATTGCAGGGGGCTGCCGATGGCCACGCAAGAATCTGCTCTTGCTCAATCCCCAAGCATGTGGCTACCGCTGGGTTTTGAGCGAAGCCTACTGTATAAGCCAAACGTTGGCAGAAAAAATCCCGTGCCAAAACGCGAACTGGCGAAAAGTCAATGCATGATCCCATCTGAGCCAGTGATGGCAACCAAATTTCTTCAGGATTGCGAACTCCTTCCGTCGCGAGATGCCGGCAATACTGATTAACGAAGGCCCTTTACTGCTGCGGCGAGGGTGATCACTAGCTGTTTCACAGCCTTCTGTTATTCAATGCACCACGATGGCAAAAGCAATGCACGACGTCAATGAAAACAGACCCGCTTGTTCCGTCACATATCTTGTTTGTGTGCTGTGCTCGCGCAAGGTCCATTCCATGCCGTGCGACTGCAAACCATCAACTCAGCATCAGCTCGCGTGGATATGGGCAGGTAAAAACAACCCATCAAGCGCCAGCCGGGCAGAAATACAATAATACGGTAACGTCATTGTACAGCTCCAACGACAAACTTACCAGTGCTGCTTCTGCAAAAACACAAAACCGCAGAGTTTCTGGAGACGTGCACGAACACTGGACAAACCTGGGTTTCATCTGGTCAATGCAGAGCTCCCAGATCGCTTTTAGAAGCTGCATTAATTTTGGGTTTAGGGTTTAGGGTTTACTTGGAACAGTTGTTGATTGAAAACGCAGTACATGGAATGGCTGCGTTGCATACAACCGGCTGGAAATCAAAACTGAGATGCGTTTGGAAACACTGCATAAGTCGTGCAACTGTGACAGCTGCGGCAATCTTTTGGGCCAGTGGTGGCATTGCACGGTACGCAGGTTGAGATGCTCTCTTATCGAGTGCAAGCCAAGCTTGGTTGCACATATGTGCATTGTACAACTGACTTTTTCTAGATTTTGCACAAATCTTCGTGTGATTCCAATGCGGAACGCTGACTAACAATCTCGACCGGTGGCAGTTTGCCCTGACACGCACAATAAAACATTGTGCAGTCTTCTTACGATGGATCGCTCTGGCGCCTTCGCGAAAGTTGTCGCTGCAAAACTTTACGGGGGCTGCTGCACTAAGCCTTGACTCCAAGTGGTTCGCAATCATCAAAGCGGGTTCTCTGTTAAAGGGGAACCGTGCGAGGTGGTGTGCAGTGCACCTATGTTTCCCTACAGCGAAATGCAATCACTGTTTGGTTGTCCATGCTGCGTGATCTGCAGTTGCGTGTTCCGCTTCGATTGGCGGTTACACTGCGAGCAACAGAAACATTCTCGTACCCACACACTTCTCTTTGGGCCAACGGCGTTTGTCGGTAACGACTATACACTCACGCATTGTCCACCGTAGCCTGAGGATCACCCAAAGGGCGGGTACGGATCTGCACATGCACCATGTTCAACATCCTGCCTGGAACCAGAATGCTCTACCTCGAAGATACGAGTTTTCTTTACGGCTATACGGTCCGAAGCACTTCCCCTGCGGGTGCTGGGACTGATACTCCCTTCATCTGTCGTCGGGCTCAAACAGTTGGTGCAACAACCCGCTTTGTTCCATCCACAACAACGGATTTTGGCTTGGACAGTTTCAAGTCTAAAAACACGGCGGTAAAGTAACACTACTTTCGAACCATACCAATTTCTAACCACGACTCATCTTAGGTGAGTTTTTGTAAACGCGCATAACGCGAAGTTTGTAAATTGACTCTTCCTCGAGCCTTAGGTGAAACATGTATATATACATATATATATATATATATATATATGGTCACCCCCCCAAGATCTACATCCGCCTCTTCCACACAATTCCACAGGTTGCTTCTCTACATTGGTCGACTACTCATATATGCCGAAAACACCGTAAATTCCGATACAACCGTGCTTTACTCCATGTGCATGCAAACCGTGCTGCTACAAGTCGCGGGTTTGATATGTGTAAAAATCTGGCGCCGAATCTCGGCAGCAGATTTATGGTAGTTTATATGTTGGAGAAGCTGAAATGCTGGAGGGCGTGCTATTTTTGTGCAGGTAGTACCAAAAAACCTCATTTTTTTTGCGTTTTATGGTGTGTTATTTGACGACATTCCTCTAATAATAAAATTACTATTGTCTCTCTTACGAAGACGTCTGTGTGCGTGGGCCATCTCTTTCCCGCTGCTCGTGAAGCGTCCGATTCTGATGCGGCCTAATAGCTCTAGCATTTGATTTATGAGTTACGAAACACAAAGAGCTCCTTTCATGTCCTGTCCGTTATATATGAAGGAAGTCGAATATATGGGCGCGTATGTTTTTCAAGCAATACTCCAATAGTTGTTCTTTAGCCTCATAAAACATGGGAAAACTCCCTGGAGTTGGAAAGTTCATGTGCATATGCGGGCGCACAGGAAGGCTCGTCTGCAGCAAGAAGTAAGAGAGCTTGTTGCAAAATTTCCAAACATGAAGCAGGACTAATTACGACTGGCTGCATTGATATGTATCAATCACAAGGCAGGGGCTCCTTAACCTCGTAAAACAAAGTAAGATGGCACTTCATGGAAGAAAGCTCCCCTTTATGTTGTGAGTCGATATTAAAGGCAGCCATGTGCATAGCAATCGCTATCTATTTTTGCAGGTACTCATTTGGGCCATGAGTTTTCATTCGGTTAAATCTTATTGATGCTGTCCTATGCCCCGGAGAAGATACCGATCGCTATGTCCATGGCTGTTTCTCTAATTGCTGTCATAGAACGTAGCGGAAAAAAGTAGCTCTATTCAATCTTCAAGCGAAACTCCCCAGATGTGATCAGCAAACAAAGAAAAGCTTGCTTATTGGTATCTTTTATTAAACGGGCAAGAGGCGTAAGACTTGTATCGGTTTCTACACCTCCCTCACATCCTGACAAAGCGATACCGGTCCTTCTGTCTGTGACAGTGGTTTAAACGCTGTCATAGTTCGTATCACAACATGAAAAGGAGCTCTCTTCAGTCTTCGAAGACCACAGGTGACATCGTAGAATTTTCTTCTGGATTAGCAGGAATCTTCATGTCTCTTGCTTGATACGTATGAGGATGTCTCATAGGAAACCGAATAGGAAGTCTCCATTGTTCCTGATGATAGCAAGAGGCAAACAGTTTCCTGCAGTCTCCAATATGAAATGAACTAAGTTCTAGATATGCTTGCGCTGCTACAGTGTTGGATCTGTAGGCGGTGCAGCTTGCCGAAGAAGGGCCAAACCCATTTTCGAGAAAGCTCCGGTACTGGAGCCAGTGCTGCTGGTGCCATAGATCTACCAACCTCCAAAAACATACATGAAATAAGCTATGCAACGACTAGGCCTTTTTTATACTTACCAAACAAGAGTAATGAAAACCGTTGTTGTTCCAGAAGACACATAAATCATTACTTCCAGTCATTGACAGCGGTTGAAAACACACAATTATCTTGTGATGCAATATCTCCTGTCCTGGACATCAGAAAACACTGTAATGCTCAAAAAATTCCAAAATTTCTAACCCTGAGACTCACGAAACACTGTAATGCTCAAAAATCCAAAAATTCTAAAATTCTGGCATCTATGGCCAGGCCGGGGGCAGATTCCTTAAGAGTTTGGAATTTTTTGAGCATAGCAGTGTTTCGTGCGTTTCAATGGTTGGAAAAGTTGATTTTTATTGAGCATTACAATGTTTTGTGCGGTTGAACCGCACCTCGTCCGGGTGGATTTCCATAGCTTCGTGTGCGGCAAGATTTCAATAGGCTTGGAGTCACACTTGATTGTGCACAGCTGCGCACCCATCACATATCGTATGTCCCTCTTCACTAGACCCTCTCATAAACACTCACTGGCTCAAGACTTCGGCTGTGGGAGAACGAGACGGACCA